TAGATTTGTAGTATTTATGGTGACCAAATCTAATAGTGATAATAAATTCATATGGCTACTATTATGTGGTCTACTATCTGAAACGATGTTGCATAGAATTTATAAATACGAGAGTATTGCCTGTTGTGGATGGTCTAACCTTTTAATCGTATGTTATGTGCTGTTTTTGGGAGTCAAACCGATAGAAATTCCTTTCTTTGAAGGTACTTCCTGTTTTTCCATCAGTTGGTTGGTTGGTTTGTTCGCCTATTTGCTTATAAGACTAGCTTCTATGCTTTGATGTTTTTAACTTGTTCATTCTACCAACTGTACCATGTATCTTAAGAATAGGATGTACACTGTCATATTTTAAAATATGATTCTCACTATTTTATGGTATTGGGGATTTCTCATTAATGTTTGCATGGTGATATACTAGGCTTTTAACAATGCTTCAGTCCCTCCATCAGCTCAAGCTACTTTCCCATACATATTTGGCGTGAGCAAGTTCTTACAGGTACTTTTATAAGTGTTGAAATATGTTACCTCCTTTAAAAAAGAAAAACCCCTGTGAGTGTCCGGGTTCATATTGTGACTTGTTACATTGTTTTTCATTTCTTACAGCCGGGCCCATATGATCTTGTGGGGACTATTGTTTATGAAATTGATCAGAACCCCTATCAGAGTACCTTCTACAATGGAACAATTGAAGTTACTGAAGTAGGTGGGTTGCTGAGTGTAGAGTCCGTTTTCTTGTTTTGCCTTGGTGTAGCCGTGATTGGTCTTCTTGGGTTTCAGATAAGGAGCCAATTCCAAAATCTCTCCAAGGTGAATTCTCTCTCTCTCTCTCTCTCTCTCTCTCTCTCTCTCTCTCTTTTTCCTTCTGCTTAGAACACCCACAATGCTTTGGGTCTCTTTTTGCATATGTGGCAAATAAATAGACAAGTCCATAATGACATGGACAAACCCAAGCTAAAAAATCCAAAATCTATCCAATGCCAAACAAAAAAGTACTAGGTCTAGAATACTAAACAACCAATAAAAATATAGTAATAATAAATGCATACAAAAAAATGTGTTTTGCCTATTAAAAAGAAAAAGAAAAAGAAAATTGTGAACAATTAATGACTAGGTGGGTTTGCACTTGGGTCCAAAATAGACCCAAGTGTGGACTTAATCTCTTTTTTCTAGTGCCACATAAGTTAGATTAGGTCCACTTTTAATTGCATTGTGAAACATTTTTTTTATAGACTAGGTCTATTTCCTACATGGCATGTGATTTTTTTCTAAGAGACCCAAAGCATTGTGGGTGTTCTTATACTGATGGTAGGTAGTGCAACTGTAGTTATATCACTGAATTACCTTAAATACTGCTGAAACTCTATATACTGAATATTGATAACATTTTGTTGGCATGTTGTGTTGCCTGTAATATAGCTATAGAAAAATCTCGCTAGTTATCTCAATTAATTTAACCTTTTGCCTTAAGTTGTTTTAGAATCGACCCATTCTGTTGCAATGTGCTTATTTTCAAGATTATTTCCTGCTCTGCCTGTAATTGGATAAAATAATATGCAGTCTTCAAAATTGTTCTATTGGCATTGTGGTGTTTGGATCAATAATATGTTAAATTGGTTAAAAAGATAATGTGGGGAAAAGAGAAGTGCATGAGTATGAAAAATGCTTGTGATATGTTGATTTGATGACCTTGATTGCCCTCATGTTGATTCAAATATTGGTTTAAAGCAACATATTATTATTCATAATTCATATTATAAGCCTGAAGCAAAAATTCTCTTGTTTCACTTTCAGAAAACTAAGAGAGTGACGAAAGTGGAAGTTGGAACCGGGACAACTGATGCCTCAAACGATGAGTGGCTGAAGGTTTGTGACAGATTACAATCTAAAAAAAAAAACCCATGGCTTTTCTATTTAAGTTAAAAAATGTTCATAATTTTTTTAGGCTATTGTTCTCGTTACAATTTGGTACGAATATGATTGATGATCGCTATTGTTATGATATATTATGCTCAGGGTACTGCTTACTCGACTCAATCTTCGGCCAAATTAAGGAAGAAGAACTAGATTACCATCCTCACACAGTTGTCCGTCAGCCTATGCATTAAAAAGTTTTACGAGGAAGATTTTGTAGATCTTTCGAGGAGGGAATAGAAAAAAAATAGGGGAAAGTATCGGCCGACTGTTGTAGTATGAAGAACGAATTTGCTACGTTTTCTTTTTCCTGGAGACAATTTTGAATGCTAGTGAATCTATTATTAACTGTTTAACTGTTAAACTGATGGAGAGCAAATTCTTGAAAAGAAACTGTTTTTTGTTACATCAGGTTTTGTGGATTATTGTCACTTTGTCAAAAATTAATTTATATTTCAATTCATATACATTGGAAATTGGAATGGATGTTTAATTAAATAGACTCATGAGTTTAGGTTATACTGTATCTTTATTATGCCTATAACATCTTAAATATAAGAAATAAGCACAACAAATGAAATTCCATTGGATACACACATTTATATTATTATCATTCAGCTACACACACAGACACACACACACACACACACACACATATATATATATATATATAATATTATATAGGACAATGCTACATGTAAACAATTGCAGTTTATAATATTGGTTCACAACTTAGTTAAAAGTATCATTAACTAAACTATGTGTGTGAGTGTAAAGCTACACACATGTGTGTAAATATATAGCCTGATACTTTCTATTAATTATTTTTTTTCTTGGAAATTTCTTTCCATATATGATAAATCTAATTTCTTATCTATAATATAGATTTTCACAAAAAGTGCTAAAATTTAAAAAATTTGGACTCAGTGTTGAGACTGTTGACTAATTGGGCTGAATTTGCTCGTTTTAGTAAAACACGTGGGCCGTTGAGTAATTGGGCTCAATTACCCCGAAAGCCCAACAACAAAAACAGCCAAAATCGGAGACACCACGTGTAGTACAGCGATGACGCCTGATATTTTTATCAGCTCTTACTACACAAATCCCAAATCGGAAATCTGTAAAAGCGATTAGATCGGAAACATGTCTTCGACGACCTTCAGCGGCGATGAAACTGCTCCGTTCTTCGGCTTCCTTGGAGCCGCGGCTGCTCTCGTCTTTTCCTGTAAATTTTACCTCTTTCTTCTTCTCGCGCACAGTTTCATAGCATATTTTATGATAAGTTTGATTTTGTTAGCTGGTATCAATTTACCTTATCACGTAGTTCTGTTTTAAATTGTAATTAGTGATTTCTTATGTATGGATTTTATTTGATGTGATCGTTGTTTGTCGTACATATCTCCCAGACTGATTCGGATTGTGTTTGCTGGAATTTTTTTGGGGGGGTTTGATTTGATGATTTAGGTTATGTTTTGTATGTGTGTGCTGTTTAATGTCAATATATTAGAACTCTGCAAATGCTAACTGCTGTGGCGGTACCAACAGTTGGCTCTATAACGGAGCCAACTTTCTATATACAACAAATAAACCTATCATATTCTCTGATTACTTAAATAACGCTAATATAATTTTATTAATGTGGCAAGTTTATTCGTTGTATATATATAGAAGGTTGACTCAACTATGGAACCAACTGTTGGCTTCATAGCAAAACCGACTGCTCTGGTATCGGTTTCCTTTTTTTTTTTATAGCTTTTTCTACGATGATTTTGATTTTGTAGGCTAGTATCTCTTACATTATCATTTATTCCTGTGAATTTAGTGTTTTTGTATATATCTCCGGCTCTGACGTGAATTACATTTGCTGGATTTTTCTTTTTGGGTTTGATTTGATGATTTAGGTGTTGTTTCGTAAGTCTATGCAGCTTAATATATATATGTGTGTGTGTGTGTGTGTGTGTGTGTCTCATGATTATCAATTCAAACACTGCTTTTTGTTTGTATTATCTCAGTTTTTCGAATCTCTATCCTTTATCTATCTTTTTTTAGAGTATTTCATTGCATCTGAATGTGATTTTGCTCGTACTTGAAGGTATGGGTGCGGCTTATGGGACAGCAAAGAGTGGTGTAGGTGTTGCATCAATGGGGGTGATGAGGCCAGAGCTGGTGATGAAGTCGATTGTGCCTGTTGTCATGGCTGGTGTTTTGGGTATTTACGGTTTGATTATTGCCGTAATTATCAGCACTGGCATTAACCCTAAAGCTAAATCCTATTATCTTTTTGATGGATATGCCCATCTTTCTTCTGGCCTTGCTTGTGGTCTTGCCGGGCTTGCTGCTGGAATGGCTATTGGTATCGTGGGGGATGCTGGCGTTAGGTATTTAACTTTAACTGCATTCTACTGATATTATGATCCTTGTTTAAATTCGCATTTGATGTGTTTTGGCTGAAGAAATTGATATGTGATGGCATTGTTGTTACATTGTGACTAATATTAGTCTTTACTAATTAGACTTTTGAGGGCTTGATATCAAATATTTTTTGTCAGGGCGATTTTTTGACACCATTCGTAATCGTAGTTCAGTTAATTAACCGTTAGACAAGTCTGTAATCTGTTTTAGAGGTTTAAGCTGAAATTTTCAGTTCTCTGAATCACTTTGAATATTTTTCATGAAGTTAGCTGATCAATTCTGAGTCACTGGTTTGGCGTGTGAAGATTTTGAAAGTTTGGTCAGGATACGATCAATCAACTAATTTTTTGAAAGTAAATTGGATTGTTTTAGATTTTACTCTTCGAGTCTTCTTGTAGGATCTTGATGTACCTTACCTTCTCTGTCTACTTCTCCAAGCAATGGATAATATGTAATTAAGTTAAATTAGAATGAGTAGTCTTTTCATCGAGAAACCTATGACAATTTAATCTTCTCCCTTTCACAGAAAACATTTTCCATATTCATCCAATTTATGCAGATCATTTATTAACAGTAATCGTGGGATTTTGTTTACAGGGCTAACGCACAGCAGCCAAAGCTATTTGTTGGCATGATCCTTATTCTCATTTTTGCTGAAGCTTTGGCGCTATACGGACTTATCGTTGGAATTATTCTGTCTTCACGAGCTGGCCAGTCAAGAGCTGACTAAAGAAACCAGCTATATGAATTACCATTCAATACCATACTGGTAAGCTCGGGCATTGTGAGAAACTTTTGTGGCTGTGGATATTAGATTGATCGTGTTGTATTTGAATTATTGGTCACTGTTGAAGTTATATATATTTTGTTTATGTTCGCGTCCTACTGACAATTCCCATTATTTGTAGATTTACATTTGTTTTCTGCCGAATAAGAGCATCTTTATAAGCTCGGTCTCTTGGAGAACTCGAATTCTTTTTGTGTACTTTAAATTTATTATGAAGATTGCAGAGGACAAGTTGTATGTATCTTTATTAGTTCTTGTCTTGGATTTTTATCATTATCTGCTTCAAATATTGCTGTTGTGGGTGTGCTTATTTTCGATGGTTTAGAGTACAAGAGGACTTCATATAGATGAAATAAAGCCAATTGAACCTATTACTACTTTTTGACTCAAAATTCAACTCAAATTTAATTTAATCATATCTTTTTCAATATTATCAATATAATTAAATAATATCTCTCTTCAGTATTTTTTTTATCAATATAATTAAATAATATTACTCAATTATTCTTACATATCACGTTTAACTTTAATTTATTCGTTTACATAATGTTAACTACTTATTATATTTAGTGATGTCTATTTTAGTTATATCACATTAACCTTAATTGTTATATTTGTAAATATAAACTAAAAATTTCACACAAACCTTCACTTAGGTTGTTCGAAATGATCGGTCAAAAAAAAAAAAAAAAACTAAAATAACTGAGTCAATTTTTTTTTTTAAAAAAATTGAACCTATTCGTAGTTCTGATGTATTTGGAGAATTATTGTGTATGTGTGTGTTAGGATTACATATACAATTTGAAATGTTTATGTATGCTATATATATATATATATAATATGAATGCATGTAATTTGGAACTATCACTATACAAAATTTTAATAGAACTTTGAAGGAAAACAAGACGAAAACATTTCGCAGGAATTGATTTTTGTATCAATATTGCAACAATAAATTTCCAAACGAATATTTATTTTTAAAAAAAAAAAGAAAGAAAATATATGTTGGAATAAAAATTGGATTGGCTCAACTTACTTTCACCCGTTAGACAGATCGACACAATTTGACAATTTGTCATGCAAGACATTGTTCCGAACAAACAAAATTTGAGAATGTATCGAAAGTAGATATTTTAAAGGCGAAAATTTGAAATGATAGATATATGTAGTGCACAATATATCTTTTACAACAATATATAGGGGTATAAACTTAAGGAGCCAATATTAACGAGCCGAACTTCCTCAACAAGCCGATATAAAAAATTATATATAAATTTTTCTTTCGAGCCTTAACGAGCCAAGCCAAGCCGAGCCAAGTTCACGAGCGGCACGTCACGATTAACAACTCTAGCAACACACTTCCATGAAAGTAACTCTAAGAAACAATACAGGCCTAATTACTTAAAAACACTCACTCAACTCTTTAAGAAAAGGAGTTGCCACAAGTGACCAAAACCTGTATAATCTGACAAATTTGTGTTTAAAGCTTTCAGTTTTCTCACGAAGGCACGATCGATCGAAGAGCATCTTTTACGTAAGGATACTTGAATGAGAAACCGAGTTTCTTGGCCTTGGTTGGAAGGACTTTTTGCCCGTCAAGGACCTGTCGTTTAAGGTTATTGCACAGGCTGATGAGTGTGCAAACAATAAATTAAATGATCGTTAAACACAAATGAGGTTCCAACCCACATTTTCCTTTTTTTTTTTTCATAAGAAACAAGAAGGTAAAATTATGTTCGTAAAAGTTGAAGTTACCTCGCGAGTAAAGTTGAATTAGACCATAGAATGATTTTCCCTTTTCTTTTCTTTTTTAACATTTTTCGATGTAATTAGCCTTACCACACAAGCACCTTCTCCAAGAACGGCTTTAAGAGCAATGTCAGGTACAGGGAGCCATGAGGGCCGTCCCAAAACGGACCCCAAATGATCACACATTTCTGATAGTCGAACAGGATTTGGCGCTGTCCCGTTTATAACACCTTATTCAAGAATAAACATATTATTTCAAGATAATATAAATTCCAGGTTTACTTTAGAGCTCTTAGTAAAATGATTCAGCTGGGATTCCACAAGAAACCAATAATAAAACGATAACTTGATTATATAAAAAGTAAAAACTCCATCAATCTCCAAAATGGAAAAAAAAAAAAAATGTGTGTCAAGTCAATGTTGCTTTCAATTTGTGTTACAAATACCCTTTCTCTAAGTGATGCAATTTCTATCTATATCTATCTATCTATAACTCTCATAAAAGGAAGAGTTGTTTCTTGAAACTTTTGAATCGCCAAGAATACCCTCATAAGAAGATAAGTTTTAAGGTTATTAATGTAATTTTTTATTTATATAATCAAGAATGGTAACTGACGTAAATAACCAAGAATGTTTCAGAAAGCAGTACTTTAAGGTTATGTTGTTAACTGGTTTCTTTATCACCTTTTTAGAGGTTGTTCTCACTTGTTTTAAGTCCATGGATCATCAAGAACAAGAGCCCAACGAGTAAAGTGGGCATTATATATTGGAAGGTTTGTGCAACTGCATCACGAATATTTTTATTTTTCTTCTACTCTTTCTCATTTCTGTTTTGGCAATGAATTATTGATTGAAATTGATCGTGTGTAGATATAACATAGCAACTTCTTATCAAAACACATAGCAAACTTCTTATCAATTTTTGATACGGGAACTCCTATTAAAATTATTCTTGAACAATTTTTCAAGATGTCAGGTTTGCTCAATTTTGGGCAACAAAAGGGTATACCATGCCTTTTCTCACCGAGGTTCCCAACACGACGACTTTGATGGAGTTTTGGGAGCCGGAATTTGTTACGAGGCTTCTGAATGCCTTGTATCGGGACCCCTAATGGTGACCTATAGGCTGAGGAAGGGATTTTATTTTGCCAGGAAATCAAATCTTTGGCGCGGAGTTGCAACTGGAGTATAACCTAGGGGTCATGAAATTCTGCATGCATCTCTCCTAACAGGTTTTGGGACGAGGCCTGACGGAAGTCTTTTTTTCGAAGTGCTGAACAACTTGGGACATCACTGGGGTGATTTCGGCTATGAGTATATTTCCATTGCAGATATCTATTATGTATGGAAGCATGAAGTTGGGGCAAGGATGCTGCTGCATGAGCTTGGGTAATCTGATTTGTTTGGGTACATTTTAGATTTGTTTGCATCTTGATTCGCAGTGTTTCTTTAATATTTATCCTAGGCTAATGGTATTTTGGAATTGAATGTTCTTTGTAGATTTGATTCTTTCTCTAAGGGTTCAGCTTTGTCAGGCTGCCTTTGAGAGTGCATTGTTGGTTTGTTTATTTGGATGTTGCTGTTGCTGGATTTTGATTGTAGTTGGTAGTTGATTACTATTCTAGTTTAGTTATTAATTTTAGAGCACCTGCGTGTGACTCTCCAGTATAGATTGAATCTATTCGAGCCAGTGGGCTCGCCGGATGTAAGACATTTTTATTGCTGTTTTGATTTATGAGTAATGCCTATCGTTTTGCCATAATCTTGAAGCTGCCCTAGCAGTAGAACTATCTGGTATAATTAAACTGTTGTGGCATCTTGAAAATTTGTTCAAGAATAATTTTAATAGGAGTTCCCGTATCAAAAATTGATAAGAAGTTTGCTATGTTATATCTACACAGGATCAATTTCATTCAATAGTTCATTGCCAAAACAGAAATGAGAAAGAATAAAATAAAAATAAAAATATACGTGATGCAGTTGCACGAACCTTCCAATTTATAATACCCACTTTACTCGTTGGGCTCTTGTTGTTCTCGATGATCCATGTCATGGACTTAAAACAAGTGAGAACAACCTAAAAAGCTGATAAAGAAACCAGTTAACAACATAACCTTAAAGTAAATAGTAGATTAATTTATGTAACATATATTAACATAAAAGAACATTTATACTGTACACACTACTAACATATAAACTTAAATTGTGTCATGCATATTTTTTAGTGAACAATTAAAAGTAAGTATTTATATTAAGACTATATATTTTGACTTAACTAATATTTTTTTTCGATAAAAAATAGATATTTTTTTATGTTGTATAACTATTTTTTATTCAATCATTCTTAAACATATGCATGTTAAATAAATTGTTCCTCTTTAATTTTTTAATACTATAACAAAAAATATCTATAGTAAAATTTGATATTTGAAAATTAGAGATGATACTTGATAAAACTTATTTTTACTTATTACAAACCTTAAAATAATATTCTCTCTTACATTCAAAAACTACATTTTCCATAAAATTTATTCAATTTATTTATTTCTAATTTATATATTGTTTACATAACCTTAACGTCTTTATATCAACTAAAAGAAATTAATTATTGAATAGGTAAAAAATAAAATAAAATAAAATATTAATAAGATCATGGACAAAAAAAAAAAAAAAAAAAAAAAAAAAAA